GTATTGATAAAGAATATCTCTTTGGATTTGAGACTTTAGTCTTTGCAACTTTACAGATCTTCTTTATGCACCAAGAGCTTGTAACACTTCAAAGAGAAAGGAAAAATTGAAATCGCATCATATGACCCCCCTTTAAGATAAGTGACATCACCTTCAACGAGTTGTGAAAAACAGAGTCTCGTTGCAGTAGCCAGACTGAGCGCTTAAGGCAGCAAGCTGTGGAAGGGAAGTTGAGGCGGTCTGGCGAATGACCAATCACACCCAGCGATAGGGAGGACGTCCATGATGAATTCAGACGGTCTATCTGAAACTGAGAAAGAACAGCTATTAGCATCATGCAGACTGTGTCTCTCACTTTCAAATACACTCACACACAAGCACACGCCTGGAATAGCTGCTGGCGCGGCAAAGCTTGAGCTGTGACCAAAAGACCCTGGTTGTAGCTGGACACCCGGGCGGCAGTCAGGTTCTGATTGGACAGCTGGATATTTTTTCCATGATTCTCCAAAAAAGTCATGACCGTGGGCACCAGGGCAGGCTCATTCTCACACTGAGAGTTGAAAAACAAACAAACAAACAAATACCAATAAAGCTTGACATTAAAATACAGCCAATCAAGCTTCAAAACATGATCCTCTGAGGTGACACACCTCTCTGACAGGAGTGCTGTCCTCCTCTCCCTCTCTGCAGCTGTCGGGCGAGAGCGAGGGAGCTTTCACACTTTCTGAATCCTCAACTAGCGTGGAGCTGACGATGGACACGGCTGTCACCTTTCCATACAGGTCCAAAACAGCATACACGTTCTGAAACGAAAGTGGATGAGCAGACCGTACAACTGAAAAATTTGACTTATCAACAGATATAGCAGCATACTCGTACCTTCGCCACTGCAGTGGCTGCTGGTCCCATGTCTTCTCCATCAATTAGGATGTGCATGGTGTCATCACTGCATCTCTTCACCCCAACGCGATTTCCCACCTATAGTAGAATGGAGGTGTTGAGGCTGTGATATTTATTCGTTCCTCGCTTAGGGGTAATAAGAGGTTTTATATATACCACTCTTCAGCGTGTTCATGTTTGTATTTGTGTCTGGCTCAAAGGACTGAATAGAGGAAATGAACTGGAGAAGATTTCCATGTCAATGTCATGTTCCAGTTCAAAAGTGTGTACCAGCTGGAGCAAACTTTATTTTTCTCAAATTGATGTCACAACAGTTGGTTGAAAAAAATCATTCTGAACGGGATTCCAGGGTTATAGTTTCTCTGTCATTGTTACAGCTGTGACGTGGACTTCCCTCTTTGCATAGAATTAGAACAAATATTAAAACTTTACTGTTACAGTTCTTGTCATTGGTATGAATGCACCTGTGCTCTCTTACCGTGAGTCGATCCAGAGAGCATCCATAGTTCTGTCTCTGTAGCACTCCGTTCCGCCTGACCTCAGAGCCGGCGAGGACCCAGGTGACCTTTGACCTGAGCTGGGTAAGCGAAGGAGAGAGGCCACTGAGCGGGCAGGATGGTAGGTCAGGGGGCTGCAGGGTGGTCAAACCCACATGAAGGGAACCGGACCATCTGTCATCTACCTTGTTAATTTTAACCTAAAAAGAACAACAACAGGACCATATGTGAATAGGACACTAAAATGTCTGGTAACACTTTACAACAAGGTTCCATTTTTTTCACTCATCATTTACTCACCCTTTAATAAGTTCCTTTCCTCTGTTAAACACAATAGAAGATATTTTAAAGAATGTTGGAAACAGTAGCCATTGACTTCCATAGTATAAAAAATACTACAGAAGTCAATGGTTGTTTGGTTACCAACAAACATTCTTCAAAATATCTTCTTTTGTGTTCAACAGAAGAACTCATACAGGTTTGGAAAAACTTGATGACAAAAAGAAAAATACTTCTAAAATATTTATTAATCTTAGTTAATGTTAATTTCAACCTTTACTAATACATTATTAAAATCAAAAGTTGTATCTGTTAATATTATTTAAAGAGGAATTAACAATGAACTGTTGTATTTTTATGAACTAATGTTAACAAAATACTGCAACAAACATATTCCCATTGTTAGTTAATGCTAGTTAAGATTTTACAAAACTAATGGGACCTTACTGTAAAGTGCTACCACATTTTTAATTTCTTTTTTTTTTTCGTTTGTAAATTAAAACACGTTCCACATCTCACCTCAAACACCTCATTTGTCTTGAGCTCCTTTGCGCTAAACACAATTCCATGGGCATATCCATCGACCCTCAGTGCTTGACAACCGTCTCCTAATAACACCACATTCTTACCATGTTTGCTGTGCAGGTGATGGGCAACCCCTGCCACTAGAGGGTGACAAAGACACAAAAGTAGAACAAAACATATGATCCTGTTTACAACTGGTGTTGACATGAATGTTAAAATCATCAATCTTAATAAATGAATACTGCCTCAAATGAAAAAATAATGAAAAAAAATTATAATACCAGGAGAGTGTATAGGGAAGCTCTTCTCTGTGATGTTACTGGTACACAGACTGTTATCCAGTGGCCCCGATGAACTTGTAATGGACACTTGCACACACTGACCATAAAGATCGATCACAGCATATACTTCTAAAAAAAGACAGAAGAAAAGAAAGAAAGGAGGAGGACGTTAGACATTACTAAGTTCTGAAATATCAGTGTTGCATAATGAGTTCACACTGCATGATTTCCAAACTCGTCGGATCGCCGTTGTTTTCACACTGCGTGACTATCTGGGGTAGCATTCAGTTGCTGCTGTGTTCACATTGCACAATGGATCGGCGACGGGGTTTCACATTGCATGACTTCACAAAAGGAAGAATCGCCGACAGCTCTGTCTGGTCCGCAAACTACGTTTCACAACAAAACACACGCAAGAAGTGATAAGGAAATAATGCGAGAACCCGCGTGCGTCAGAACGGAGTTTTCGAGCAAGACTGGAATTATAAAAAAAAATATATATATAGCCCGCAAATTGTCTGTGAGCTGACTTCCAGCTACAAGGAGAAAAAGAAAAACTGATTATGCAGGAGGCAGATGCAGGGAACAGGGATTGGGTGTTCTGCAAAGAGAGACGTAAATAATTTTGCAGTAACTGTTATGCTGATGTTGTGGCTGGTCAAGCAAAAGTTTGTGCTTGTTTCTGTATGATATAATTGTTCAGATATCTATTAAAATACTGATATTCTGGTCTATAACTCCTCCCTGAACTTCCCTCTGCCCTGTATCTTGGTCTCTCATTGGCTGTAGGTCATCGCCGATGTAGTTTTCAGTCAGAAATCATTGCACACAGCGTGATTGTGAATCGCCGACAGCTCCAGATATTTAGCATGCCAAATATTTTGCAGGCATCGGCGACATGTCGGCGATTCCCTCAGATCGCGTCTTTGATAATTCACACTGCGTGATTGTCACTCGCGTGAACGAGCACCGATTTGCCTCCGATTTCGGGCATTTGTCGGCGATTTTGCAAAACCTGTCGGCGAGGGAAAAATCGGGCTAAAATCGTGAAGTGTGAACTCGGCATAAGGTGAAACAGTTTTCTTGAAAATTACCTGGTGGCAGCCCGGTACAAGCTACACCCTGGTCAAGGCCGTTGATGAAGTAATGCAGGTCTCCAGTAGCTTTACGCATCATCCCAATCCTGGAGCCTGTGGTCAGAGAGTCCAAGTCACAGCCGTAGTTATTCCTCATGGTATTCCCATCCTGCATGATCGCTGTGCCACTACAGAAGAGAAAGAGCAAAGAGAGATGTAAGGTGTCAGTTCTGGCAAAGAAAGGAGTTTTAATCCATTAACCCACGGCTCACCTCAACATCCAGGTGTCATAGTCAATGTCAGTCATTGTATTAGGGAACTCCAGTTCTTCTGGTCTGATTGCGGTTACTCCTGTGAAAAATACAAACCAAAATCTGGTTCTTATTCAGGTTCCATTAAAAAACACATACACAGAACCAAGTGATTATTGGAAATAATAATATTCGGTTCCTTTAATATTCCTGGAGCCAGTATTTTTCTACCATGTTTCCTGCACTGCAGCACCAACAGCTATAGTGAAATTCTTCGAAACATGACTCTTATGAACCAATAATTTTTAGTAAATCAAAGACATGCATTTTTTTTGGTAAATCAATGGTATTTCTTAAGTGAATCAAGGCAATTTCTTTAGTGAATTAGCGGTATTTCTTTAATAAATCAGTGGTATTTCTTTAGTGAATCAGAGGTATTTCTTTAGTGAATCAGAGGTATTTCTTTAATAAATCAGTGGTATTTCTTTAGTGAATCAGAGGTATTTCTTTAATAAATCAGTGGTATTTCTTTAGTGAATCAGAGGTATTTCTTTAATAAATCAGTGGTATTTCTTTAGTGAATCAGAGGTATTTCTTTAATAAATCAGTGGTATTTCTTTAGTGAATCAGAGGTATTTCTTTAATAAATCAGTGGTATTTCTTTAATAAATCAGTGGTATTTCTTTAGTGAATCAGAGGTATTTCTTTAATGAATCAGAGGTATTTCTTTAATAAATCAGAGGTATTTATTTAATAAATCAGTGGTATTTCTTTAGTGAATCAGAGGTATTTCTTTAGTGAATCAGTGGTATTTCTTTAGTGAATCAGAGGTATTTCTTTAATAAATCAGTGGTATTTCTTTAGTGAATCAGAGGTATTTCTTTAGTGAATCAGAGGTATTTCTTTAATAAATCAGTGGTATTTCTTTAGTGAATCAGAGGTATTTCTTTAGTGTATCAGAGGTATTTCTTTAATAAATAAGTGGTATTTCTTTAGTGAATCAGTGTTTTATATAAGCTGACCTGCTTCTATTGAGCCTGACCAGCGATCCACCATTTTCTGAATTACAATTTCAAAGAGCTCTCCATCCCGAAGGCACCTGTTCAGTGGGACACACAAGCATAAAATATTCATTTAATCGATGACTGATCCATCAAGATCAACCAGCATGATCTAAGCACTTAAGAGTTCATGCCAAAACAAAAGTAACCTGTTTGAAATAACAATGGCATCATTAAACTCGCTGCGGCAGTTCTGCCTGAGTGCCGTTCGGCCACCGTTGGTGATGACTGCGTTTGTGCCGTGCAGCTGATGAAAGCGCAAGTCATTAGCAGCTGTAGCTCCTGAAACTGAACATGGGCTACCAGGAGACATGGCAGTAGGGCCCTCAGAGCTGTCATCAGGCAAGGGAGGGAGGTCAGCTATAACAGAGAGAAAGAGATTTTTAAAAGTCTCCTGAGTACTTCAGGGTGTGTACCATCTATCCACCCCTTTCTACTCTCTCCTTATTGCTCTCACCCATATCATCCATGATGGTGGCCTGGGCAGCCTGTCCATACAGGTCTACCACTGCATACACACTGGGCGGAACATTCCAGGCCGCAGGGCCTTGAGGCACTCCGTTCACAAAGAAATGCAAACTTCCATCCTCCTTTCGGACAACTCCCACTGTATCTCCAGCCTGTAAACATTCACATGAGGCACATGAACATAAAACCAGCTAAACCAGGATATGTTCCTAAAAATCAGCTCTTATATAAAAGTCTCAATTCACCCTGGTGACAGTTCTGGGTGTCAAAAAGATCTTTAAAAAATCACTCAGAAGAACTTGAAATTTAAAGGGATAGTTCACCCAAAAATGAAAATTATGTCATTAATTATTCACCCTCATGTCATTCCAAACCCGTAAGACCTCCGTTCATCTTTGGAACACAAATGAAGATATTTTTGATGAAATCCGAGAGCTTTCTGACCCTGCATAGGCAGCAACGCAACTGACACCTTCAAGGCCCAGAACGGTAGTAAGGATATCGTTAAAATAGTGCATGTGACATCAGTGGTTCAAGCGTAATTTTATGAAGCTACGAGAATACTTTTTGTGCGAAAAGGAAACAAAAATAAAGACTTTATTCAACAATTCGTCTCTTCCGTGTCAGTCTTCGATGCGTGTTCATGAGAGTACCACAACCCACTATGTTCTGACGTAGAACACGCATGCACTGCACCTTGTTTACAAGCAGAAAGTATATGCATGCTTTGTGGTACTGTCTTGAACGTGCGTCAAATCTGACACGGAAAAGATGAAACTGTTGAATAAAAGTCGTTATTTTTGTTTTATTTGTGCACAAAAAGTATTCTCGTTGCTTCATAAAATTAAGGTTGAACCACTGATGTCATAGACTATTTTGATGTCCCTTATGATGTCTTTGCTACCTTTCTGGGCATTGAATGTGGTAGTTGCGTTGCTGCCTATGAAGGATCAGAAAGCTCTTGGATTTCATGAAAAATATCTTAATTTGTGTTCTGAAGATGAGCGAAGGTCTTACGGGTTTGGAATGACATGAGTGTGAATAATTAATGACATAATTTTCGATTTTGGGTGTACTATCCCTTTAAGACACAATTTGGTTTACATTAACCAACATGGCTACAGGTGACAGGTGGGGGGGGTTGACAGATGTGGTCACTAGTGAAGAATTTTTTTTATTGAAACACCAAAACTGGCTTTGGTATGCCATGTCGGGTGTTGTGTTCAAAGGTGATAAATAGTAAAGTTCTTTGTCAATGAGCTGCCTCTCGATATTTTAGCTGTACAAATTTGACATTTTGCTAATCTAGGATTCATTTTTAATTACGGTGCATTCACACTGCTGGCATGTTTACTGGCTGTTGCTTATCCATGTTGTGTATTTAAAACACACTTTGACTAAGACACAACTGTTTCGGTCAATGATTTTACCGCTTCAAAATTATTTGGGCCAAAACCAAAAATGTCACTTTCTTCTGTTTCGGCCAAATGTCTTCAGTTGCCAAAATTTCAGTGCATCACTAGTAGTCACTATGAATATGTTGGATAAAAGCTATGTGAAGGTTTTTCCAAAATTCTCCTTTTCTGTTTACAATACCGATTGAAAATTGACTGAAAATTGACATAAAATGTTTAAGCCAGTCTGCAAAACTCACTTTTAGACGGTCCAAATTGTGCCCGTATTCATCAAGAATTGTAGTTCCGTTGTGCATGACACCATTTCCTGTCATCATCCAGGTTCCTGTGTAGATATCGGTGCATTAGATTAGCTATCTACCAACACTCATGCATTTTACATTTGACGCTACAGGTAACATGGCCTTGACTCATGGACACTTTAATCAGTCAGCTAAGCTTTCAGTTGTGACCTGTGGCTGTAACTGTGTGGCAGCATTTTACCTGAGCGCAGGTTGGTCATGGTTGACGGCAGCTGAAGGTAGGCGGGGTTATGAGTCGTCACGCCAATCTCTATAGAGCCCGCCCATTTGTCCACCATTTTGTCGATGCGCACCTGGAAAACCTCATTGGAGTGCAGCGGACGATTGCTAAGCACAACGCCATGGTTGAAGTCATCCGTCGCACTGTGCCAGAGAATAAGATTTCATTGAACTGCCCCATGAAGCAGTAGCCCTATTAATGCAGTAAGTATATTTTTAGATTAAATGAACTCACTGAGGCCGTAAAGCAGTGCGGCCATCGCTGATGATTGCAGCCTTCTGCCCACAGTTTAGATGGAATAGCAAGCGCTCTGGGACATCAGGCTCAGGGGTCAATGAGAGAGCAGGTCGAGGACGGCCCACGTCAGGTGACAGCGCCCTCATGATTGCATTGTTGCGGCGTAAACGGTCACTGTGGTTATGGTTGTGGATGATGGTGACCTTTACTGCCATGCCATAGAGATCCACCACTCCATACACTACACCAGGGGTCTGATTGGCTGCAACCCCTATGACATCATTTCGGAAAAGTATTTTAGAACAATCCGAATTGTGTGTGAATTTTTTATCACTGAGATCTGAAATTACTCTCACCCTGGTCAATGCCATTAATGTAGAAGTGCAGAGCTCCACTGACTTTCCTCATCAGCCCTATGTGATCTCCCTCCTATAAATAACAAAAGCATAAAAACATTTTATAAGCATGTTGTGTATAAATAAACAAAGGGAATCACCTTGAGTATTAAGACTACATGAGATAATCATAAGACTCACATATGCTGCCAACTTACCTGGAGTTCATCCAGGCTGAATTCACAGTATTCCCGACGAGTCCCCTTCCCATTGGTTAAAATCCCACAGCCACTCATCATGATTGTGCCTTAAAAACAAGAAGAATGTAATGAACACTATGATTTAGTTATATCAAATACACATGTGCCTGCTATGTATATTGTAATGATTCTGTGAGAAATGAGGATCTATTTGATTATATCACAGAATAACAAAGAGGCTACCTGAACGTAAATTGGTCATTGTTGCAGGGTAGTCAAGATTATTTGGGTTGTGGGTTGTCACTCCAATCTCAATGGAACCAGACCATTTATCCACGAGTTTGTCAATGTGAATCTGAAACAGACAAGTGCAGCGATATAATCAGAGGTGTAAAGTCAGCCAAAAATTGTACTTTTACTATATTTTTCAATTTGTTTTGTATAACTGTTGTATAATTATTCTGAGCATCATAATATTATTAATTAGTTGTATTATGTTTGTACTTTAAAGAAATAATAAAAAAAAAAAACTCCTTACCGCCAAACAAGTTTTTGGCAGAAAATTGGAATTAAAAGGATTATTATTATATGAATAAAATTGTGCACAATGCTATTTTAATTAGTAAGTCTCTTCAGGCAAGTTAAAAAGCAAAAAAAAAACTTTTATATTTAAATAATTAACACTAAATTAAGAATGTTAAGATTTTTTTTGTTTTTGAAAGAACTCTCTTATGCTTACCATGGCTGCATTTATTTGATTAAAATATGCAATTTAGTGAAATATTATTACAACTTAAAAAAAGCAGTTTTCTATTAATATATTAACATAAATAAAAATTTAATTTATTCAGGTAATAACAAATGTAATATTATTCTAATATGCTGATTTGGCACTTAAGATTTTTTTTTTATTACTATCAATGTTTTATATATACGTGTGTGTGTATATATATATATATATATTTTTTTGTTTGTTTTTTTTTTTGTTTTTTATTATATTATATTTATGTTGTTTTTATTATGATAGGACAGTATTTAGACAGGAAGCGAAGTGGGAGAGAGGGGGGGGTGGGATCAGGAAAGGTCTGCGAGCCTGGACTCAACCCGGGACGCACTAGCGCTATATGTTGGCGCTGCTGACATGCATCATATTTTTTTCAGGATTCTTTGATGAATATAAAGTTACTAAGAACAGAATTTATTTCAAACAGAAATATTTTGTGAGATTATAAATGTCTTTACTTTCACTTTTGATCAATGTATCCCAGCTAAATAAGAATATTAATCTCTTAAAAAAATATATATACCTCAAACATTTCGTTGTTTCTGAGTGGTCGATTGGTCATGACGACTCCGTTATTGAACTCATCCAGCGGTCTCCTCCTTTCTGCTGTCTTATTGTTGTTGCTTAGTTTGATCAGCGTGCCACACTTCTCATGGAACAGCAGCGCGTCATTGGTTGTCATGCCGCCACCGGCCACCCCCAGTCCCGCCACCCCACCAGAGCTCCCCGCTGGGCTGCTATTGCTGCTACTGCCTCCACCTGTCCCTCCGCCACCAATGCCACTGTCACTTCCTGTTCCTCGGCCTCCACCGCTACTTCCTGTGCCGCCCCTCGAGGAGTCAGAGCCTCCCCCTCCCACCCCCAAGTCCTCTCCACCCTCATCCTCAGAACGATACAGAGAGACAATGGCATTGTTGAACACATCAAATAACTGATGCTCAGTCAAAACTGTGAGGGGAAAAAAGTGGAAAAATAGCAAAAGATAAAGAAATCAACAACGAAATTCCAGATTTACAATGATAAATAACCGAGGCTGGTTTTAAAAGTGACGTACCACTATCAGGCTCAAAGTTGTTTGGAAATTTGTCGGGCCGACTGTGCGCCCTTGACACCTCAGGCACTGATGAGAAAACAAAACAGTAAACATTTGTTCATTACAATTGGACCAAAGATATATTAAGAGTGTACTTGATAAAGCAAAGAAACAATCTTTTAAAAATCTAGTTAAAAAGTAAAACCCAACAAAATTCTTAGAAATTTACTGTTTGTATTCATGGTTTTCTAAGCATTTTAAAGAAATTTTCAATCGAATGAATGATAAAAATATCATGTGGTAAATTCTAGGGCTGGGCAATTTGGCCAAAAATTAAAATCTCGATTTATTCAGTACGTTTGACCAATTCTCGATTTTTTTACAATTTTTAACTAATCAACTTGAAAATGTAACTACAACATGATTCAAGTAACTTTTTCTTTATTATCCCTCTATTTAAAGAAAATTCTATTCCAAGTGCACCACACATGAAGTTGTCAACATGATGTAAATGTTAAACAAATCATTTGTTAAGTATCTTTGCAGAAAAGATGCGTGAACTACAACTACATCTTGTACAAACTTGTCTTATACATATTATATTTTCAGAAATAATACGAGGAAAATGCTTAAAAAAAATCTCAAACGTCAAGGTAATTCAAAATGACTGAAGGTATAACACCAGTAGACTATTATTAACTATAAATGTTCTATAAAAACAACAGCAGCTTTCAGCCTGTCACCATGATGCAAACATGAAATATCAAACATACAGTAGTAACGTTAGTTACAGGTTTTTTTATTCGATTACGCTTAGGGTGGCCATACGTCCTCTTTTCCCCGGACATGTCCTCTTTTTGGACCTACAAAAATGCATCCAGCCTGGATTTCTTAAATGCCCAAAATGTCCGGGATTCGGCTGTTTTCTTAATCCCGCTCCCGCTGAATCTCTGACCATTGCCGCCTGCCTCCGCAACATGTGTTTCGCTCCCGCGATTTTCGTGCCCACTCCTTTAACCCTTTAAGCCCTGAGGCCATTTTTGCCACACTGAACTTGATGTTTTTTCTGAGTGACACACAAAAATAATGACTCATAACTCCAGGACCGTAGCAAGGAGAGTCAAAAGGTTGGTACCGTTTGATAGAAACCTTTCTGTACTTTCAGTGGAAAATTATTTAATTTGGACATTCTCCTGCTGAGAAATAGCTGATAAAAATGTAAGATTTGAGTGCTCAAGAGAAAATGTTCATATCTGTATTATTTGACATTCAATATCTCAGGACAGAAATAAGGTAGGAGGAAAATTCTTTTTTGATGATGTTCCCCAGCATGTTAGTTGTCTGTTTCAAATTTTGTGGTGCATAAAGTATAGCATAAAGTATTCAAAAGTTACAGTATTTTGTAACAAAACAGGCCTTTTTGTTTAGCTCTTGACTCTTTGAAGGAATTTTAAAAACTGTTGTTTTCTGAGTGCCATACACAAAAATAATGACTCAACTCCAGGACCGTAGCAAGGAGAGTCAAAAGGTAGGAATCGTCCGATAGATATTTTTCTATATTTTTTATGGGGGAAAAAATCTTTGCATTTGAATATTCTCATGCTGAGAAATAGGTGATAAAATGTAAGAAAAATTTGTGTGGTCAAGGGAAATTTTTCATATCATTCTTATTTGATATATCAATATCTCATGAAAGAAATAAGGTAGGAGACAAATTCTTTTTTGGTGATGTTCCCCAACATGTGTGCTGTATGTGGTGATATCATGAAGTAATCAAAAGTTACAGCTTTTGGAACCAAGGTAGCCCTTCTCTTAGCCCTTTACAGTTTTTAAATTGTTTTGAATTTGAAGTAATGCCTCACTCAAGTTTAGTCAAAGCCCCAAAAAATTATACTTGTTTTATTCTACTCGATGAGACCTTTCAAATTACATATGACACATAACTATCTGAGGTGTATGATGTTTCTGACATATTAGAGTATATGGCACAAAAACATTTTTCATAAATTATGAAAACATATTTTTCAATTTATCCGCAAATAACTCAGCACTACTTAGGAGTTAATCAAATTGGCCACATGCATTGTAAAGGTCAGACTCCAAGCTTTCAAATGACACCTATTTTGTGTTGATTAAGGCAGATATTTTGAAAAATATGCTTATTATTTTTTTCTTCGCTAGGGGGCGCCCGCCGGCGGTACACTCCGGTTTAGAGGAACTAGGCAGCACTGGTTAGGAGTTGATCAAAATGCTTGGATGCATTCGAAAGCTGAATTTCTAAGCTTTAAAATTATACCTAATTATTAAAAAAAAAAAAAAAAAGGTTATATAAAAGATAAAATAGACATTCTAGGTTTTACATTCTGCTTGCCAAGTGTTCAATAGAGCTCTCCAACTGATTTCTTCAATTCATGGGTTTAGGTATTTACACATTATTTACACACGAAAGACGCAATGGAAAAAAACATGAGAATATTGCAACATGTGCGCATTTGGAGTTTTATGTGTTATAATTCGATGACGAAAATCTTTAGATCTAAATGACAGATTATGGAATGATTGGGCTCAAGCTAATCGAGAGAATTTTCTGAAAATAATGACGTGCCATTTTCCATGATCTATGCATGTTTCATGAAGTTATGAATGAAAACGTAACCTAAGTTTTTCTCAATTTAATGGTTTCATGTGTGTGTTAATATCTTAAGTAATATATTTAGATCCAATGAACGAATTACGATGGGTTTGGGCTCCTTTTAATCGGGAGAATTTTCTGAAAATAATGACGTGCAATTTTCCATGATCTATGCATGTTTCATGAAGTTAAGAATAAAAG